TTGTTTCTGTTGACCCTTGGTTTGAACTTCTCTTCCTCCCTGCACTTTGTTCTGGTTAGCAGTAATCTAAAACCAAGACAACAGTGCATAAGTGTTCACAATAAAGCTAACAAAATCCTTGGCTTCATATCAAGAAGTATAAATAATAGGAGTCTTCAGGTTGTTCTTCAACTCTATATATCCTTGGTTAGGCCTCATTTAGACTATGCTGCTCAGTTCTGGTCACCGTATTACAGAATGGATATAAATGCTCTGGAAAACGTACAGAGGAGGATGACAAAGTTGATCCCATGTATCAGAAATCTTCCCTATGAGGATAGACTGAGGCCCTGAATCTGCACTCTCTAGAAAGACGTAGAATTAGGGGGGATATGATTGAGGTGAATAAATGGAAAACAGGAATTAATAAAGGGGATGTAAATAGTGTGCTGAAAATTTCCAGCCAAGACAGGACTCGCAGCAATGGTTTTAAATTGGAAAAATTCAGATTCAGGAAGGATATAGGAAAGTACTGGTTTGGTAATAGAGTTGTGGATGTGGAACAAACTCCCGAGTACCGTCATGGAAGCTAAGACGTTGTGTAGTTTTAAAAATAGGTTGGATAAATACATGAGTGTGTTTGGGTGGGTCTGAGTTAAATCTGACTAGCTTGTGCTACTAGGTCGGATGCCGTGCTCCTCCCTTAAGTGAATGTGACTTACCTGACTAGGTCAAGGCATTGACATAAGCCAGTGGGAGAATTGGACCCGCCTCGTAGGGGCCAGTGGATTTGGCTGCAGTTTTTTCATCTTATTTCTTATTTCTTTAAACTGTTTTTCCCCGCCCAGTTATTTTTCCCCCACTGAAAACCTAAATGCCTGTGTGGGCCCTCCTATTTAAATTTTTGGGCTTCCCCATCCTTCTCGTGCTGTTTAAAATTTTCCCACTGTTAATTTTACAGAAATTTTCAGTTTTTAAAGATCATTTGATAAACTACCCACCAAGGGGCCCTTAAACAAAATTGTGATTTTCCCAGTGCCGAAGCTACCAAGGTGAATATGAGGTCCACCTTGCGGGGTTCTTTCTTTTTTTCCCTCTCTGGTATTTGCCCCCTAACAAGTTATTTGCATGAGGTTTTGGGGGTACCCCCCCCTCCATCATCTTAGTCCTTCCGTTTCTGGCCCCCCAATGGGGGTTTTTCTGTAGTTTTAGGTTTTCCCCCGTTTAAAAACCCTTGTGGGTTTAAATCCCCCATATTTAGTAACTTTGCCCCGCCCATGTGGGCCCTTCTTTGGGCCCCCTCTGCTAGGGGTCCCCTCATTTCTCTATTTTTTCCAGGTACTTTTTTTGGCCTCCTGCTATTCAGTGGCGGTTGTACATCACTACACTTTTCCATCTTGGGGGAAACCCCCCAAACCCGTCTTTTAACCCTTTTCTTTTTTGCCCGCTTGTTTTTTTTGTACCCCTCTCTCAGTTTTCTATCATTTTTTTTGTGTTTTTTTTGCATCGTGGTGCACCCACTGGCATTGTGGGAATTTTTTTTAAAACCGTTTTTTTTTTGGGCCCCAGGATCCCGTTTTGTAATGTTTCCTGCCTTGAAAAACAGTTTTACTGGGCGATTTTTTTCTTCTCGAATAACCCTCTGTTTTTCTGAAAATTTGTCCCGCTTCTCCCTATTTTTTTTTCTCCTGGTTTTTAAGATAATTTTTTTAATATCCCTTTTTTTTCCCCTTTTCCCTTTTTTTCATGTTCGTCCCCTTTAGTCTCCTTTAAAAAACCCCTGAATAGTGACCTCTCTTTCTCCTCCCATTTCATTTCCCTCCATTTCTCTGGGTTTGATTTAAGCAACTCCATTGCTGATTTCCTTAACATTTCCTGGATCTCCAGGTCGCCTATTACTAGGGACTTATCTCTTTCCCTTCCTTTACTCTCCTCACAGGTTGCTAGTGCTCCTGCTCCTGATGCCATGCCCCTTCTGTTCTTCAGGTCTCTATCCCATTTCAACATTTTCAGTTCCTCTTCAAGGCTCTGTATCCTAGCCTCAGCAGCTTTGGCTTGTAGCTCCTACTTCTTGCTCTCTGTAGCCATCCTCTCCATTTTATTATCAAACTCATCTAGTGAGGTGCTGGAGTTCCAGTATGACAGAGCATTTAGTGAGCCATTAATCAGACTAAGGGTCGACAATCTAGATGAATTTTTTATGACCGAGACTCAAAATTTGATTAAAGAATTTAATATAATCCTAACACCATGACATGGCCATGTACTCTGCCCCAGGCCCAGACTCTTGGAACTCCGTGTTCATCAAAAACTGCAAGAAACCTTTTGCACTTGATTTAAATATTCCATGGAGAGGGAGCATAGACACAAGGGTCATCTCATAGTCACTAAAAACAACAGATATAGCCCCATTCCATAAAGGTGGCAGTAAAGCAATTTGAAAGAATTACAAACTGATAGCACTAACATCCCACTTCATAAAAATCTTTGAAAGGGTTCTAAGACAGGTCGCCCAGTATTT